GTACAATGTGATCTTATTTACTACCAGAAGTGGAGAACTTCATATAATGCAAATGTTTATCACTGGGAGAGAAAACTTAGATGCTTATTCAGTAAGGAGCCTTGGTGAAGTCCTTTCACCAGTATGAACCTGTTTTCCCATCTATGAAGTTGAGGATCATTTTTGCCTGTCTTTAGGATTGTCAAGAATTTTGTAACTGCAAAAAATCCTAGCAAAATCTAAGCTAAATTCTCATAAGGAAATTGAGGCTCAGCCAGTTTAGGCAATTTGTTCATCTTCAGATAACAGTAATGGAGGTAGTGGCAGACTCCAGTATATTGTGTTTCAATTTCCTAAATACCATATACATATCCAGCATTTCAAATGAAATTAAGAGTGAATGCAAAGGGGTCTTGTAAACCTTAAAAGTATCATACGAATGTAAGATGTAATGTTTTCAGGATGTTTCAGGATGCTCTACCCTGAGAGAACAGAGTTACCATAGGACATACATTATTTGGGAAGGAAGGGCTGATAAACAAGTTGTACAGATATTTCAAATGCTTCATCTAGAACCATGTGTCTTTAATGGAAACTGAGACTGAAATTTGCTGAAGAGAAAATAGAGGTTATTCTGGAAATGGGAAATAGCACAAAAAACTTGTTCTATCTCTGTTATGGTGTTACTGCATTGGTGTCCCTCTGTTCTCTTCTTCTTATATAAGAACACTAATCATAATCATCGTTAGTGAGGGCCCCACCTTCATGACCTCATCAAAACCTAATCACCTCCCCACCTCCAAATACCATCACACTGGGGTTAGAGCTTCAACATGTGAATTTGGTGGGGGGACACAAATATTCAATGCTAATTTCATGCTGATTTTGTGTTTTGATATTGCTTTCTGTATTCTTTTTTGGGTAGAACCAAGTCACAGAGAACAGTTTATTAAGAATTCAACTATATTAACATCCTTTGGGGAAATTCAGAGTGATAATTACTCTAAAGCAATTGGGGAGAATATATAGTTCTAAATTTATAACTTCCTATTTGAAGGAAAGATTAAAGCATCTAGATTTTTGTTTTCTATCAAAGGAATACTCATTCCTTTGAAATTCTGCATAGAATCTAACTCCAAATCAGTCTACTTCTGTGGCTTACTTTTCCATTTTGCCTTACCTAAAATAGGTGGCAGAATGCTTTGGAGTCAGCTCATTATACATAGGAAATCTTGGTTTTGTAGCAACAGGTAATAATCTTGCTTTCCGGACTTTTTTGCAACAGCTCCTCTCCTTTCCTCTGCATCCGATGGTGTGAGCTGACTGACATCAATAGCAGAAGTGTACAAAGAGCTTGAAACACTGCTGGGCAAATACTGATAAACAGGGTAGTGAGTCATAATGCAAAACATGGCCACAGAGAATTGTGGTGTGGCAGCTGCTGAAAATTACACACTGTAATAATGAAAGATGAGGAGAAAAGTGGGTAAGGCATAGAATATTTGGAAGTTGGAGATATTTCTGTTTCTCTGAGGTGCCCTAGAGGAATGGAGGAATATTAGAGGTATTTTGTCTTTCCTTTCTTTCTTTACCTTTCTTGAATCCTGCCTCTACAGTTGAGTCAGCTAAACAGAGTTGGATTTGCTACATTTCCGATGTTTAAAAATAAGTTGAAACATGATACTTAAATGTGTTAGCTAAATTTTCAAGTAATATGCTTAATCTGTTTTTTTAATTCAACCTCCATATACATTTTCAAGTGAAATACCTCTAAATTTAGAGCAATAGATCTGATTGATTTTGGACTTTATGAGTGGTTTGTATTATCCATTTTTCAAATGGATAACCACATCTATTGCTTGAAATACTTCTGAAAAGTTGTCTGGAGATGGAAGACATATTAATGATGTTAGAGTTGACTCATTAGGGGCTAGGGGTGCTGATCCGAATGCAGTTGAAAATCCACACAAAACTTTTGACTTCCCATAAACTTAACTACTGATAGCCTACTGTTGAACGGATGCCTTATTGATAACACAAATAGGGGATTCATGCATATTTTGTGTTATTTGTGTTACATTCTTACAAAAAAGTAAGCTGGAGGAAAGGAAATGTTTTTTGAAATTGTTGAATATCTCCAAAAAACTTACCAATTCATTTATTAGAATAAATCCCCATGAGTGGACCCATGTAGTTCAAACCCATGTTGTTCAAGGATCAATCTTTGAAATATAACAGACATACTATTTAAAAGTACATTCCCCTGTGTTTCTAAGCCTTTTGGACACCCTTTTTTATGTTCTGCTTTTATCACATAGCATTATTGCATTCCTGTTTTTTCCAAACATTAAGTTATTCTAGGTATGTATTTTTTAAAAATCTGTATTATTCTATTATTGCTTAAGTATTTCCATATTCTAGACAAAATTTTATTTCCAATTTTTAAGTAGCTATGAGCATATTTATAGGAATTATTTTTCTTGAGGTAATTTCTTTAAGATATAGTCCTTAAAATTAAGTCAGCCAATCCAAGGTATGATCATTTAGTAGATTTGATATATTATTAGTTTATCTCCATATGGCTTGAAATAACTTATACATCCCACAAGCCATGTTGAATTTGGAAGTTTAAGGAGTTTGTTGTATGTCTTAATATTTGCTTACAATTTAGGAATATTACCTGGAAAAGCATGTGTGTGTATATGTGTGTGTGTATTTGTGTGCATGATGATATATATATTGACTTAAAAGAAACACAAGTAAAGAAAAATGTACTGATTTCATTTGCTTTGGTTTGTCTTCATTTTGCCCTTAGGTTTTGCTTTTTTCTCTCTAGAATATAACCAAAACATTAGTGACATTAACACCTAAGTGCTATAGTTCACACTCTCCCTGGAGGACAGGAGTGATGTGTTAACACTCTTGCTTATACTTTTTTGCTGAATTCAACAGACAGACACACATTATCCACGAGTACATACAACATAGATAATTGTACTCTGGTTTTAAAGGCTTCTTCCAAGTGGGAAGATTTTCACATGAAAGTGATACAGTAAAAGTTTTCACTATCCAGCATCATCAGTGAGAAATAATAAACTGGCCTGATCATGTGACTTAGAGTTGTATGGCTCTTGAGAGTAGAAAGTACAGGACGGGAGTTTGTGAGTGGGCATTATCTGATCCTGGCTCTTCAGACTCTGGTTGTGCTTTTTGAGCAAGTCTTTATTCATTTCTGTTCTTTATTAGCTGGCTTTCCTTACCTTGAAATGAGGGGAAGAAAGAAATGGACTGTTTTTTCTTAAAATTCCAGTGGAGAAATGAGGAAAAACTCATTTTCCCCTAATTTAAATAATCCTTTTAAGCAAACTGGTTAAATGTATGAAAGACCTCAGGCTATTCTGCAAATTAGCACATCATTTCATCTATCTTACCCTTCCTTTACTCTTCAGTCCACCTCCCTACCCACAACATACACAATTAAGTGCTCTACGGGAGTAAAGTAAAAAATGCAGAGTTGGTGTTTAAAACTCTTCAGCATAAGACTTGATTCTATATTCTCTAATTCTATGAATATTATTAAACATAATTTTATATAGTTTTGTAGATATGGGGAATACAGTTGTCAGCAAGAATTCTTGCTGTTATGGTGTTTATATTTTAGTGAGAGGAAAAGCAGACAATCAAACAAGTAAAAAAAATATGGTGACGTGCTTTGGAGAAAATGCCACAGTATGTTATAATAATGAATGTAGGCACTACTTTAGATTGGCCAATTAAAGAAAGCCTTTTTAAGGAGGTAGTATTTGAACTGAGCCCTAGAACTGAATGAGAGCCATGAAAAATCTCAGGAAAGTGTATTCCCGGCAAAGGAAAAAGCTATGTAAAGATCCTAAGTTAAAATGACCTTGGCATGTTAAAAGGACAGAAAGAAGGCTCATGTGATTGGAACCTAGTAAGGAATAAATGGTTGGCAGGGGCTAGATCATGTAAGATCTTGTAATACATGAGAAGGATTTTATATTTTATTCTTTGTGAAAAGGGAAACCATTGGAGAACATTCATCAGGGGTACAATGTGATCTTATTTACTACCAGAAGTGGAGAACTTCATATAATGCAAATGTTTATCACTGGGAGAGAAAACTTAGATGCTTATTCAGTAAGGAGCCTTGGTGAAGTCCTTTCACCAGTATGAACCTGTTTTCCCATCTATGAAGTTGAGGATCATTTTTGCCTGTCTTTAGGATTGTCAAGAATTTTGTAACTGCAAAAAATCCTAGCAAAATCTAAGCTAAATTCTCATAAGGAAATTGAGGCTCAGCCAGTTTAGGCAATTTGTTCATCTTCAGATAACAGTAATGGAGGTAGTGGCAGACTCCAGTATATTGTGTTTCAATTTCCTAAATACCATATACATATCCAGCATTTCAAATGAAATTAAGAGTGAATGCAAAGGGGTCTTGTAAACCTTAAAAGTATCATACGAATGTAAGATGTAATGTTTTCAGGATGTTTCAGGATGCTCTACCCTGAGAGAACAGAGTTACCATAGGACATACATTATTTGGGAAGGAAGGGCTGATAAACAAGTTGTACAGATATTTCAAATGCTTCATCTAGAACCATGTGTCTTTAATGGAAACTGAGACTGAAATTTGCTGAAGAGAAAATAGAGGTTATTCTGGAAATGGGAAATAGCACAAAAAACTTGTTCTATCTCTGTTATGGTGTTACTGCATTGGTGTCCCTCTGTTCTCTTCTTCTTATATAAGAACACTAATCATAATCATCGTTAGTGAGGGCCCCACCTTCATGACCTCATCAAAACCTAATCACCTCCCCACCTCCAAATACCATCACACTGGGGTTAGAGCTTCAACATGTGAATTTGGTGGGGGGACACAAATATTCAGTCCATGATAATGGTGATGAGAGGGGTGTAAGGAATAATTGACTATTACAGTAACCTCTTGTTTTCTGCATCTTTCTTACTTTTTTCATCATCTTTAATTTCTCCCTTAGAACCTGCTCAAAAATTTCCTCAATAAGAGCTTTTACTGGATTGGTCTGAGAAATAGTTCTGGCTGGAGGTGGGAAGATGGGTCAGCTCTAAACTTTTCAAGGTAAGGGGCATCAAAAGACTGAAAAAAAAATAAAAGGACGAAATGATGTGGCTGAAAGGAAATTAGGAACAAGGAAGGAAATGAACAGTGTATAAGGTGGAAAAAAGGATGACATTTCAGAGAGCCCATGAGCAGTATCTATTCTGCTGTTTTGGGAGCTGAGTGGGGTGTAAATAGAGAGAAAGAATTGCTCTTTTTTGTGTGTGTCCCTTTATGCTTTATTCTGCATGTCCCCTTAAGTGACTGTTTCTTCTGATTACTGACAGGGTCCTTTCCAACAGCTTGGTCCAGAAGTGTGGCGCCATGAATGAAGATGGTCTCCAAGCCTCTAGCTGTGAAGTGCTTTTGCGCTGGCTCTGTAAGAAGGTCAGACTTTGAGTGATATCTCATCTGTCATATGGTTCCCTAAAAAGAGGAAGCGGGTTTCTGGGCATGTAGATAGCCATAAATATATCTTTAGTGAATGCTCAACCTTCTATGATATGGCATTATATGTAAGATTAATGCAGTTTCCCTGGGACTGATGGTTTATTGCTGGACTCTCTTTGAGAATATTTAGATACTGTTGTAACAATTTAAACACCAGATCTAGGCAAATTTGAGAAGTAGATAAGATTTACTTTAAGTATTTCTCATGCTGGTGACTAATGCTACCTCCTTAATCTCATCCTTACTTGTGTCAAAAATACATCTTTTCTATGTTATATTCTGAGCTGGTCTGATGCAATATGTTTTGCGTGTGTTAATGGGTTGACATGTTAATTGTGTTGATAGTATATTTTTCCTAACATTGGTCCTTTGCAGATAAAGCTTTGTTTAAAGAATGATGCTAATGGTGAGAAAATATCCTGTAGACAATGGTTGAGAGCTGGGTGGTGCTTTCTGGTTCTTAGCTCTTCACACTTAGTCAAAAACTGGCCTTGACCGAATTCTGTTGTTTTTGAGTATGTGTAGATGTGGTTGAATAAACCAATGTGTGGCTACATGTTTTCCATCTTGTGAATGTGTGACTTGCATATTAATTTCATAATAGTGGTCAATCAGGTAAGGCATTTTTATAGAGGAAAGTTTACAGAAGGAGTTTATGTGGTTGCTCCCCAATACCTCAAAAGTGACAAAAAAATTTATTATTTCTAAGTAGAGTTTGGACCTAGGTAAGGAGGGAAGGTACTGTTTAAAAACATAGGAAGGAGTAATTAGGGGGACTATTATTCTGAACAGTTGATGACAACAGATTATAATCTGTTTACTTGTCTTTCTTTTTTGTAGAGTTGAGGACATGGACTGTATCTTATCCACCATTGTATCCCAAACATCTAAAATAGTGCTCTTATCAATGAATATTAAATAAATAAATGGATGAATTAGAAATAAGAATTTAAAAATTCTTATTCTAGTTGTTTTTGTTAACCTGCACGTTAATTTGAGGGATTAAGGGCAGGAAACACAGTTTATCCCTAGCCCCACCCATGTGCACATCAATAGCTGACTCTAAGGGGCCTCTTTGATCTGGATACAAGGCTCACAGACATTTGTAGTGGAAACAGACTCCCAGCTCCTGTGATCTCTTACTTTCAGCTCTGGGGCCACGAGTCATCTCTCCGTTATGGATGGGCTGCTTAGTGACTCCCCTTGGTTAATGATGTAATGATAGTGGTTCTACTTGGGCCACTCTTGGCTGCTACAGGAAACACAATCTCCTTTCTTTATTCAAAGAGGAACAAAGGAGGACAGCACACTCCTAAATTCTTCCCTGAGTAGGCAGCAAATGTGAGCTCCTCTTGGGGACTAGGATTTGGTAAGGATTTCACCACCAGTCATCAGAATTTGGTCTGATTCTTCACCACTTTGTCTCCATTAAGGATGTTAAATTAGAAATAGCTTATTTACTAGTTTTTAAAAATTTATTTCCTAAGCTTACGTATTAGGGGCTTACTGACTCAATTCTGTTACCTTGCCTTGTGAAATGAAATTTGGTAAAAGTAGAAATAAAATTTTCTGTCAGCACTTGCTCATCACAGCTGATCCCTTTGATAAACATTGTATACTCAACTTCTCCAGGGTGTACAGTGTTTGAAGTAAGACATATATTAAAGATAATAAAAGAGCAGTAACAAAATAAGAATGAAGAAAATCCACAGAGGGAAGAACCTCTGTAGAGGTCACAGCTACATGGTATCTAAGGGCTCAGTAGGAAAAGTGAAAATGATGAGTTTATAGAATCCTTGTAGTATAGTAAAAACTTGTACTTTTGTTTTTGTTATTTTATTGTACTTTAATAAATAATTTCTGGACTTCAGGTACAGTGATTAATCAAGCTCCTTAGTTCATGGGGTTACCATCTTTGGCCATCTATGCCTCTTTCTGGTCTATTTACTTTTTCCCTCCTTCTTGCATCCCCACTTCTATTCACCTTTACAGCAAAGGACCTATTTTGATGTTTGATATATTTCCCAGATTATTTATATTCTTAATTAGTTTTCTTCTTTGTTTTATATGTAATTAAATGATCTTTTTCTATTTATCTCACTACTTTTTCCACTAGGATTATGTTTGTAAGGTCTGTTCATGTTGTGCTGTGTACAGATTCCAAACTGAAGAGCTTTCTGATTTCTCGTTTTCACTCATAGCATCAGTAAATTTTCTTATTTCTACCACCACAGAATATTCTAAATCTCACCACTTTTCTTTGCCTCCACTTTTAACTCTAGTCTGAGCCTATCATTCCCTCAGATTACTGTGACATATTCTTTTGTTACTTCCCTTTTCCTCCTTTAAAAACAATTTTATTGAGGTACAGTTGACACAATAAACTGGATATATGTAAAGAATAAAATTCGATAAATTTTGCGGAAGTATATACCCATGAAAGAATCATACAATCAAGATAATGAATATACCAATTGTCCTGAAAAGGTTCTGCCTGCCTTTTTGTAGTTCCTCCCCCTCTCTCTGTCCTGTCACCCGACACTCCCCCTCCAACCTATTAGGCAACACCTGATTTACTTTCTGTCACTATAGATTAGATTGCATTTTCTAGTTTTACAGCACATACTTTACAATTAAGTATGTACTGTTTTTTTTTCCTGGCTTTGTTTGCTCAGAATAACTGTTTTGAGATTCATCCATGTGTTTGTATGTATGAATAGTTCACTCCTTTTTATTAATATTCCATTTATTAAATGGTTGTTTCCAGTTTTTGGCTACTAAGAATAAAGCTGTTATGAATATTTGGGTGTAAATCTTACTATGGATGTAGGCTTTCTTTTCTCTGTAGTGAATACTTAGGAGGTGGAATGTCTGGCTGTTTAACTTTTTTTTTTTGTACACATGAATATATTTCCACATACATACAAACGCTGGACCTTAAGTCTAGAAAGGTTTACATTTTACAGAAGCTGGTAACCTTTGGGGAGAAGGACTGGCTGGAGAGAGGAAAGCCTTTGATTTTCATTGTCTTTCTGTACTCTTCAATTTTTCTAGTGATGGCATGTGTTACTTTATTATCAGAAGAGCTTTTATAGGTATTGTGTTATGGGG